AACTTGTATTATGTAAGACATGACCAACAAAGAACAGCAAAAGGCACGTGGTTTGTCAACATGCTCAGGGGATCTGTGGTTTGGAGAGACACATCCTTTCTCACATCAAAAGGGCCTTCTACAGGAAAATGGTATTTTCAGAACCCACTTCATTAGACATGAACATATCTGATGCAGCGTAACAGTTCAAAAATGGTGTGGAATTCAGATAACTGTTTCAATGAAGCCTAGAAGAACCTTTCAAAAAAGGCTCTCCCCACAGGAACAAGATCTGTCTTCCTCTTGATTATTTTGATCATGTCAGTTCCCCATTTAATTTCAATAACAAGGTAGATCATCTAAAATTCTAAACCTAACCATGTACTGCAAGGCCTTTCAATGACATCCCATTTCAATTAACCTCAAAACTGTTTCACCATCTTGCAAAGTATGATAAGCCTAGTTTCTCAACCAATAAGCACTACACCAGATTCTTTCATCAGCAATATAAAAAAGATACTGACGTTCTCTTGAGGACATTATAACTTGTAATCGTTCTCTATCCCTCCCACCTACAGAAGTCACTTTTCTTAAGTTTTCTAAAATTCAAGATAACTTCATTTAGGAAAGTCATTCTGGCATGGGCAGTTAGACAGACATGAGCCCTAGGTGCCTAGCAACAGACAAAACTGGGAAAACAAGGACCTACTCCCCAGGGTAACCTTTCCTTCCCTAGAGTATTACTGGTCATTCAGTTTAGAACCCCGATCTTTCCTATCACTGGTTATGCAGTTTGGACACCCCCCCCCATCCCACACCTCCACCTCTGACATGTCACTAACATGTGGATTAGATCCCCTTAGAGGGAGGATGAACAAGGGGGCCAGAGAATAACCCTTAAGCATTAAGCCCCCAGGACAACAAGGTTCTGACCAGCATCAACTACATCTAGGCCTCAGTTGTATTTCAGCTCCAGGGACAGAATAGCAGGCTCAGGGACAGATGCATTGACTAATGACCCCCTATCCTAGTGCTGACCAATCAGTGGAGACCATGACCCTGAGAGGACACCCTAAAATCTCCACCCTTAAACGCCCTTAGGACAGAGGACCCAGTGGCCCTCTCCCCACCTCTTTTGCCTTGGTAACTTGTTTCTTGAGCCCATTTCTTCTATGGCTCGCTTCTTCTACTTCAGTGACTTTCTCATAAACTTTCTTATATAGTTTGAGTCTTGGTTGAGATTGCTGAACAGAGGTCCAGTCTGACTCCACTAGTCAAACACCCGGTGCTGTTGTTGCTGCCAGCAACTCCATTAACCCTGTTCCCACCACCCTCCTCCCTCAAGTCCTTCACATTTTAAAATGCCATATAGAACACATGATTTGGAATCAGAAAATCAAAGTTCCTATCTCAGTTTTGCCTGACCCTGAGATATTTACTTACCTCTCTGTCATGTTTTCCATGTATAAACTGAAGTGACTTAATGACTTTCACCATTAAAATGCCTAATCCTGATGGGCATCCCAAAATATTATTCTCCCTCACTTATCCCACTCACAATACCTTTCTGATTTGTTTCCAACCACTTATTACAGAGGTTTTAGAATTGAGAAAAAAATAATAGTAGTTAATACATCCAAATCACAGCACAGAATAAGGAACTTAACTCTAAAGAGTAACCTGCCAGCCAGGCAATAAATGCTTTGGTTTCTGCACTGACGTAGGCCCTGGGACAGTTAGGGGACACAGTTTGCAAAGAGAGCTTAGCACTCATCAAATCCCCCTTTTTGCCCATCCAAATCCTAGCCACCCTTCAAAATCAGTTTAAGTCCTAAAGTGGTCAGGAAACCTCCCCCAATTACTCCAGCCTACATTAATCATTCCCTTCTTTGAATACTGATGCCTCTCTGCAGGGAGTGATATTAAAAATATTTAACAACTGGCACCACAATGGTACCAACCAATCAGAAAGGATATACGGCCACTGGGAACTGCTCCGTGAACATCTATTACTACCAATACCAAATAGCAACCTCAAACTCTAAAACAACTTTCTCATTTGATGTTCACAATCTCATGAATTAGGAAAAGTAGGTATCCACCCCATTTTCTGCTTAACTAGAGGTGAAGTTGGGACTAAAAATCAAATCTAATAGTCAACTGCTTCTTTCACTATACACAGAATATACATTGTTCTGAATATACACAGAATTATCAACTAATATTGTATAACTATTACTATACCAGTATATTACATGAATGCTCAGTCAAATGGAACTTATTTAATCAACAAGTATTTAAGTGGAACTGAATATAAAACACAGTGCTAGCTTTTGAGAGCATAACGAAAATAAAAGGCATAACCCTGGCCCTCTGGTTATCTATATCACATTCAAGAATATAGTTAAAATAGCAGTGCAGGATGATAGAAATAGGCAACAAAAACTGAAGTGCTGTACAGTTCAAGGAATAGAGCACAAGAAGTACAGGAAGTCAGGACTGAGAACTTCTCTCCTCACTCTCAAAAGGGGCAAAATTAAGTATATAGTGAAAAGACTGAAAGTCAAGTCACAGGGAAAACAGAAATCGTGGGAATTGAGGGTTTGCAATAGAGTTTGAGAAGTGTTGGATAAGCAGAAATGGCTCTAATCATAAGCCTTAAGTGCTGCTCTAAGAGCTGAACACAAATGGGAAATCTTGTAAAACCTTTGTAGGATGGCTGAAGAAGATTAGCTCAGCAGTAGCCTACAGAAAAGCCTAGAAGAAACACTGGAAAGCAACTAGATTTGAGGGATAACAGGAAGGACTAAACTGATAGATGCATACAAAGAAAGAGACATCCAAGAGGTATTAATATAAAGAAGAGTTGGGTTTTAGGCATGTTTTCAAAGAAAAAAGTTATGAAATGGCAGAAAGGAAGTAAACAGCATTCTCACATGAGATACACATATAGAGATAGTGGTACTAAACTGTGTACTAGGGATCAGGAACCAATTTCCCTAGAGAAATCTATGTTGAACATAGCAGAAGCTGGGCAGAGAAAAACAAAACTGATACCCAGTTAATAAGGAACTTTGAGCTCTTAAAAAGGAAGACAAATTATAAACAGAAGAAGCATTGAGCTTTTTCAGCATGTATAAAAGGATGGACTAAAATATCAACATAACCAACAAGGGCAGGAAGACCAGTTGAAGTAGTATATACTTCGGTGTATTAGCACCTGAATCAGATTTGTATTATAATGTATGTCAGGGTAGTTTGTAAACTCCAGAGCCTGGACTAAGCAATGCTCTGTAATTGAGCATTATTCCAATACTATTACTTGAATCCATGAAAACTTTGTGTGCTAGGCTACATGGAACGGAATGAACTGTTATTTGAGTTAACAGTGGTGTGGAAATGTAACTTACGCTTGAGGCATAACTATATTGATTTTCCCACCTGTCCACACATTTATGTTGCCCTCCTCCTTAGACCAACGTCAAAAATATTTTGTTTCCCCTAATGTAGGCCTAATGTGAGGGGACTCCAGGAATGTACTAGGAGTCAGAAAGTCAATCTTGTTTTCAAACTGTGAGGGCAAAATCTAAAAGTGAATAATAAAGATCAATTGCTCATTAGAGGACTGAAAAGACAAATGGACTAAACCAGACAGGTGTACAGGCTTTGGAAACACTGAACCCTGGGTGCAAATTCTAACTCCAGCTCTTGGTAATTGAGTTAAAAAACAAACAAAACAAAACAAAAAAAACCCCACCTCTCCATACCTCAGTTTTTCACGTATAAAATGGGGCAAATGCTAGGAGCCCTGATTGTTATGAGGATCAGATAACGTACTTTGGTGTACTTTTTACACATCTACATCAGAGTAAGCTCTTGGTAAACAGTAGCTATTACTAATAACTGGCCCCCTCGGTCCTGAGTTTTTGTTTTTAAAAACATCTGTTATTCAATTTCAGAAGCAGAAGAAATGTCATTTGACTGTATTTTAGCTGCTAACACTAAGGCTCTACGATTTCGTTGTGAATATTTTAGTGTGGATGCTAACCACGGTTTTTCACTCCTCGGTGGTAGGCCATGACCACATACTCCGTTCCTGATTTAATATTTTGGAAACCGGAGCAAAGCATTCTCCCTTGAAAACCAGCTACGCAGACGACTGATTCAAACTAACTGTCACTCAGGAAAAGGAACCTCACTAGCGATGTTACTTCGAGGAAATAAAAGCGTGTGATCAATTCACAGAGCCATTCCCATTCAAACATTCCAAACCCAGCGGAGTGAACAAAAGTTCAAGTTTCTACTACGAAAACAATCCGAAGCCTTCTGGTGGCTGGATTCACTTCAACACTTCCCAGGCGCACGAAGGAGACATTCCGCGCTCTCCGCGCCTCGGGCTCCGCACACAAAGCTCCGCAGTTCCTCCTCCGAAGCACCGCTGGCTGGAGAAGCGGCCCCTCTCGGCGGGGCGGCCCCGCTGACCCCGGGCCCACCACACGCCGCCCCTCCACCGCTCAGCGCTCACAGCCCGCGCGGGAAGCCTCCTCCAACTCGGACCCCAACCCCGCCCCGAGCCCCGGGAGCCTCGCGCACCGACCCGCTCCGGGTGGGGCGCCCGGGACGCCGCCACACAGCGCTCTGGCAGAGGCCAGCCTGGCCGGCCTCGCACCCCGGGCCCGCGCCCACTCGCTCCCCAGAGGGCAGCCCCCGACCTCGGACGGCTCCCGCAACGCCACCGCCCCCGGGGAGCGAGAGCGGGGTCGGCCGCTGGCCGCCAGGCACGTCCACCCGCGCTCGGACACACGCCCCCGCCCCGCCTCCCCACCCCGCCCGCAGCTCGCGTGGCGGCAGCCGCGCCGGGAAAGCCCGGCCCCGGCCTGGGCGCCGCCACCTGCGCCCCCGGCCCCGCGCCATGTTTGAGAAAGAGAAGGAGCGAGCCAGAGGCCGGGCCGGGCCCGCGCACCCCGCGGCCGCCCGCCAGCCCCGCGGCCGCCTGCCAGCCCCGCCGCATCGCCGCTCACCCGTCGCTCCCGGAACCAGCGTCGCTGCGGCCGTCAGCATGAGGAGGAAGAGCCGGGGACACGGAGCAGCGGCCGCCGCTTCCATGGTCCCGCCGCCACCGCCTGTGGCCCGGCCCGGCCCGGCCGCCGCCTCGCCTTAGCAAGCCTGGCCTCGCCCCACCTCCCCCGCGGCGGCGGCGGCCTCGCTCCGGCCCTTTGTAACTGCTCGGGGGCCGCGCCTCCATTGGCTGCCGGGCTCCCGCCGGCCCCGCCTCCCGCCCGTCTGCGAGCCGCTGAGCGGGACCCAGCCCGGAGCCCCGCCCGCGGGTCCTCGGGGCGGCCAATCCAGAGCCACGAGCGCCCAGCCGCTGGCCACGCCCCCAGACTCCCCGGGGGCTGTGCAGCCAGACCCCTGCCCCATCCAGAGCAGCTCCGCGCTCGCCGGAGACCAGGTGGGGGCAGGGTCCAAACGAGCCCGGATCCTGCCAACCCCGCACTCCCGGAGGGCCAGAGCTGAACGATGGGTGTGTCTGGATGTGTGTCGCTTTCGGAAAAAGAAAAAGACTGTGGCCACTGGACGCTCTTTTTTTCTAGCCTTCTCTAGGTACCTAAGATCTGTCTGGTACTGACCCCGCCACCACCAATCTCCAATGCATTCGCCCAGATCCGCAGTATCAGGCAGGCTTCAACTTCCTCTCCCCAGATCCCAGATCCAAGCCTCAGCTCTCACCATCCCTCCTAAGATCCTTCATATACGACTCTGTCTCCTGTTTCCTCCCGCGGTCAGCGTCTATCCCCAGCCTAGGCACCCTCCTCACCCCCCCCCCCCAATTTCAGGTCCAGCAAGTCCCCAAATCTTGGCCTTATATCCCAGCCTCAGACTTAAGATCCTGAACTCACTCATACCCCTGAATAGCCAGAGCTGACCCAGAACGGGACTCTAAACCACGCTCCTTCCCTCTCACCGCTTTCTGATTCAGGTGGGAAAAGGGAAGGTCCCACCTCCACCCTCAAACTAGGAGGATTCCCCTTAATAGCATGCAGCACCCCCGGGGCGGAGGGGGAGCAGTCATTACTTTGAGCTGTCTCTGACAAGCCTGCACAATAATTCTGAGGTGTCACTAGAAACCCAAATAAACTCGACTACGTTTTCATTCTGAATTTCTAATTTACTGTGAGACTGTGAGACGCTCCACCCACCTTCCCTCTGGGATGCCAAAATGAGCTCCAGATTTGTAATTCTTCCTGTCAGACTAGTCCTCTCTTCAGACACAAACAACAGTCTAGGAGGCTGTAACATAGAACGGAGAATATTTTTCCACAGAACCTTTAAAGGAGAAAACTTTATTTTCTGTGTGATTCGAACATGGCATGAAATAAACCCTGATAGTAGGAATCAGAACCAGCCTCCAATGTTGGCTTGTAAATTACTTTCACCTGCCTGTGAAGACGTCCCTCCTGAGCTGTAGAGGGGAAGGGTGGGGGTGTTGGAGCTAGAATCTGGAACCTGCCCTATTCTCTTCTTGGCTAGGACACTTATTGATCAAGTCAGTTGACCTTTCTGAGAATCCATTTCTTCATTTAAATAATGGAAATAATATCTACCCCTGATCTGTTCCTCTCCCCTGGACAGGTAAGGGCCTGGTATACACTGAATAACAAGAGATGCACCTACTGCTAAAACCAAGCACTTCCTGCTCTCCAGCTGCTGGAGACCACCAGCAGCAAGCTCTCCTCTTGCCCCTTGCAGCAGGCAGACCAAACCTGGAGGGACTTCTGGCAGGCTCCAGTCCCAATCTGCTCTTTCATTTCCAGTTTCTTCAATGGAGACTTGGTGGGTGAGTCAGGGCCTTGTGACACCTGAGGTCTCTAGACTGTTTTCTCGCTGCTCTGTTCTCAGTACCTTACATAAGAGATATTTATTGAATGAATGAATGAATGAATGAATGAATGATTCAGCTCAGGCATGTGACTGTTTTTTTTCCTCATCATTAGGTTCTTCATCTCTAAAATAGAAATATAATAGAACCTACCCCATTTATAAATAAAAGGGATTGAATCACATGTCTTGGGCCACTTACGTGACATAATGTGCCTGGAAAAGTATCTGGAACATAACAAATATTTAGTTAATGTCATTTTCTTTGCCCATCCCCTTCCAGCTCTGCACGATTCTAATCAGTGTTCATGTTCATGGTCATCTGTGCCTTTTCCTTACAGATCCTCAATTAATCAGTGTAAGGACATCTTCTATGACACACTTTTAGTTCCTTAACATTTTCCATGGAATTGAGTGTGTTCATTAGGAAACTGAGGAACAGGAAAAAGAAACAAACTATTTTTACATGTTATTTTCCTAATATTAGTTGGAAATTCCATGAGCCACAGACCCATAAAAAAGCTACATTAAAAGGAACAATAAATTGTAAGTTTAAAATTGTGGTTCTCAAACTTCAAAATGTCTTCACATTTCCTGGGGAGCTTTTAAAAATGCAGATTCCTGGGTGTCAGCCCTAGAGAGTCTGCTTCAGTTCATCTGAAGCGGATCCAGGAGTCTGCATTTGTAATAAATATCCCTGGTTATTCTGCTGCAGGTGTTACCAGGCCACACTTTGAAAGGCACAGTTTAGAAAGTGTGACCTTAAAATTCAGTAAATAAAAATGCATGTGCTTATTTCACCTTTTGAGAAAGGTTGGACAATGGAAGAAGCTTTTGGCTTAGAGGTCTGCAGACCCCAAGTGGAACTCTGCCATTTACTAGATCTGGAATTTGTGCATGCTACTTGATCTTTCTGAAATTTCACATCCCCCAGTGTAAAGCTCATATATTTGTTGTAAGAACTAAATGAGCTATTGCACATGAAGAATCTATCATAAATGTTAATTCCCTTCACAGTCTCTACAGGCTCTCAAAAAGGCTTATAGATGTTGACTCCAACATCTTGATTTAAAGGGGAAAAAACAGAACCAGACCCCAGCTCAGCAGCTGAAGAGCCAGGATTAGGAGACTCACACCAATGCCTTGCTCCCTGCACAATACTACTTCTCAGTCTTTATGCCCTTTTATACGTTGATTCCTTTTTCCTTTGGGTTATTCTCTTAAATAAGATGTTTTTTTCTAATTAGAGAGCAGAGACTGCTAGTTGCCCTAACCTATATCCATTCGTGCATTCAGTTTGTAACAGAATCCTCATTTCCTTTGGGAAAGTAGTTCATCTAGATAAAAATCTCAATTTCCCAGGCTCCAGGTACCTAGATATGGCCATGTGACAGAGTTCTGGTTAGTGAAATATAAGTAGAAATTTATCAGGTAGAGCTTGTGGGAAAGATATTGTTTTCCCCATAAAGAAGAGAGACTCATCACTTTCTCACCTTCTTTCTGCCTGGAACACAACTGCAATGCTTGGAGATGCAGCAGCTATCTTGTGAACTTAAGGATAATGATGACCATAACTAGAAACAGCAGAGATAAAAATAGAGTCTGGAGCCTTGATAAATTCCTTGAACAACTGTACCAGCTCTAAAATGCTTACCCCTGGAGTTCTTATTATATGAGAAAAAAAAATGTTCTTGTTTTTACTTTAGACACTTCAATTCTGGCCATATGTTATTGTTGTATATTTTATTTCAATCTTATTTATTTATTTATTTATTTATTTATTTTATCCTCACCCCAGGATATTTTTCCATTTTTTGTACAGATAGAGTGGGAGGGAGAGAGAGGAAGGGAGAGAGAGAGCGAAACATCGACGTGAAGGGACACATCGAGTGGCTGCCACCCGCACGACCAACCAGGGCTGGGGACAAACTGCAACCAAAGTACGTGCCCTTAGCGGGAACCGAACCCGGGTCTCTCTGGACCGCAGGCCGACACTCTAACCGCTGAGCCAAACTGGCCAGGGCTCAATCTTATTTTTTAACCCACGGGTATTGTTGATTTATACCATTATTATCTATTGTTAACTCTTGGTGCTCCTAACTGAATGAAAAATCACCTTAAAATTTAGTGGTTTAGAATAATAACCACATATTATTGCTCATGAGACCGTGGGTAGGCTGAGCAGTTTTTTTGGTCTAGAATAACTTAAGTTGATCTCAGCTAGGCTCACATATGAGTCTGCAGTTAGGTGGCAAGTCAACTGTGAACTAAACAGATCTATAATGGTCTAGACATTTCCTCTGTGTGGTTTTTCATCTTCCAGCAGGCTAACCTGGGCTTGTTAACATGATAGTTTAGGGGGCCAAGATAATGAATAGAAGTTTACAACTGGCACAACATCATTTCTGCCACATGCCATTGGATTGGGCATGAGTTGCGTCAAGGCCAAATTCAAAGAGTAGGGAAGTAGGCTCTATCTCTTCACAAAAGCACATTGCAAAGGGGTGCGGAGACAAATAGAGTTAGTAAGTGTGGCCATGTTTGCAAACTATTTTTACCACTTTTTCTAATTAAAAAAAAAAAATCTCTAAACTTTCCATCTCGATTCACTTTCATTCTGCCTAAAATATACCCTTTTGAGTTCCCTTTAATGAGAGTCAACTGGTGGCAAACAATCTTAGTTTTTACATGTAGTCCTTATTTTTGGACAGTGTTTCCACTGGATTTAGAATTCTGGGTTGATAATTGTTTTTTCTCAAATATTGAAGATGTCATTCCACTGTTTCTGGCTTCCATTGTTATTTATGTGAAATCAGATATTAATCTATTTCTCCTTTGTAGATAATCTGTCTTTTCTCTGTCTGCTTTATTTACAATAGATTTTATTTTGTAGAAATGAAAATATAAGCCTGGCTGGTGTGGCTCAGTGGTTGAGTGTTGACCCACGCACCAAGAGGTCGCTGGTTCAATTCCGGGTCAGGGCACATGCCCAGGTTGTGGGCCCAATCCCCAGTGGGGGGCATGCAGGAGGCGGCCAGTTGATGTTCTCTCTCATCTATGTTTCTATCTCTTTGTCCCTTCCTCTCTCTCTAAAATCAATAAAGAAAAATTAAAAGAAAATATAAGTAAATAAATTAAAATTTTAAATAATAAATAAAAACATTTATTTTTTAGATTCACAGCAAAATTGAACAGAAATTTCATAGAGTTCCCATATAGCCTCTGCCCCCACTC